GCCTGCCCTCTGCCACCCAGGAGCAGGCCTAAGCCAGCAGGTCGTTATCTCCTGAGGAGTCCCAGACTGCGAGAGGGCACCGGCCGGGCTGGGGCCCCCCCCTCCCCCCCCCCCGAGTGCACAAATTTTTGTGCACTGGGTCTCTAGTTATTGTATTAATTATTAATTATTGTATTTTCCATAATAAAAACTGCAAACCTACTTTTGGCCTAGTCTGTTTACAGAAGTGGGTTTGCTGGGTCATATGGTAATTCTATTAATTTTTTTGAGGAAACTGCATTGTTTTCCATAATGACTGCACCATTTTGCATTTCTGCTAACAGTGCACAAGGATTCCAATTTCTTCACATTCTCACTGATGCTTTTGGCAGTGGCAATCCTAATGGGTGTGAAATGGCATGGTGGTTTTAATTTGTGATTAGTAGTGATGTTGAGCATCTTTTCATATGCTAGTTGGCCATTTTTATATCTCCTTTGGAGAAATCTCTAATTCCTTTTAATCAGGTTATTTGGTATTTTGTTGTTGAGTTGTAGCAGTTTTTTAATGCACACTGGATATTAAACCCTTGTTAAGTATATGATTTACAAATACTTTTTCCCATTCCGTAGGTTGCCTTTTCACTCTGTTGATTGTTTTCATTACTGCTCAGAAGTTTTAGGTTGATATAATCTCCTTTGTCTATTTTTGCTTTTGTTGCCTATGCTTTGAGTTAATTCCAAGAAATCACTGCCAAACCTGATGTCCTGAAGTTTTCCCCTATGCTTTCTCCTAGGAGCTTTACAGTTTTAGGTCTTATATTTAGGTTTTTAATTCATTTTAAGTTAATTTTAATATATGGTATAAGGTAAGGGCTCAACTTCATTCTTTTGCAATTTCCCCAATACTATTTGAAGAGACTCCTTTTTCCCTGTGTAGTCTTGGCTCCCTTGTCAAAAATCATTTGTCTAAATACATAAGGGTTTGTTCCTGAGCTCTCTATTTTGCTTCATTGGTCTATACAGTGGGGCCTTGACTTACGAGTGTACCGACTAATGAGTCTTTTAAGATACGAGCCGTTTCTCGGCCGATTTTTTGCTTTGAGTTGCGAGCTAAAATTCGGGTTACGAGCCAGCTTCAGATACCCCACCGCTAGTTGGAGCAGCGAACGTCACAGTGAACGCCACAACATCCGCCCAGCATCACGTGATTTGACATATGAGTAATTTGAGTTACGAGCTCCGTCACGGAACGAATTAAACTCGTAAGTCAAGGCCCCACTGTATATCTTTTTATACTAAGTACTACTGCATCTTGATTATTGTTGATTTGTAATATGTTTTGAAATCAGAAAGTATGAGGCCTTCAACTTTGTTCTACGTTTTCAAGATTGTTTTGGCTATATGGAGCCCCTTGAGATTCCATTTGAATTTAGGATGCCTTTCCCCCCTCCCCCATTTTCGCCAAAAAATACTATTGGAATATTGGTAGGAATTGCGTTTACTCTGTAGATTGCTTTGGAATAGTATCGACATTTTTAACAATATTAATTCTTCTAATCTGAGAGCATGAAATGTCTTCCTATTTATTTTGTTTCATCAATTTCTTTTAGTAATGTTTTATAATTTTTATTAATATTCTATTATAATACTAGAGACCTGATGCATGAAATTCATGTAAGAGTAGCCTTCCTTCCCCTGGCTTCCAGCACTGGCTTCCCTCTGGCACCTGGGACCCAAGCTTCCCTTCGGCACCCAGGACCCGGGCTTCCCTGGCAGCCCTGGCTTCGTCTGGGGAGTTGTCCAGAAGGTCGTTCAACTGTCCAGTCTAATTAGCATATTACACTTTTATTATTATAAATAATTACAACAAATTGGCCTCCTCTGAGATGGATATACTATAACTGATTTAAGTATGCTTTTGAGTACAGGGACATTTAAAAAGTCTCTCTTTTTTCATATTTTAAAAGGAAATAGCAATATTTGCAGCTAAATTTTTGTTCACACTTAATGCTATTTCTTTGGAGTAATTTCCTAGACACTAATGCAAGTATAAATTAATGATTAAGTAAGGTATACCTTATAGTGTTTTCTTATGTAATAAAAGGCTAATATTCAAATAGACCGAATGGCAGAACAACTGAACAACCAACCAGTCGCTTTAACATGCATTGACCACCAGGGGGCATGCGCAGAACATGGTGGGCATTGGCAGCAGGTGGCAGAGCACAGAACATGGCAGGCATCGGCCATGGTGGGATGGTGGAGCAGGTGAGTGAGGGCTCCAGACCAAGGTGGGTCACCAGTCACTCTCATTGGGGCGAGCATTTGGTGGTTACTGAAAATTCTTTGCTCCCACACACCACAGTCCTGCCCAGCACTCACACTTACTGCTGGCACTGGCCCTGCTCTTACCCACTGCTGGCGCCCAGCACCAGCCCCGATTGCTCGGCACCATCAGCAGATCACCCCTGAGGGCTTCTCCACCTCCACCTGCTTCTGAGGGGCGATCAGGGCAGCAGCTGCTGCTCCCACCTGCTGACTGCCCCGCTTGCACCTGTTGTTGTCACTGGTCCCAATCACTCTGCATCATCAGTGTGTGGGAGCAGCGGTGGGAGCAGGGCTGCCAGCAGACAGGGGACCAGGGGCCATGGCAGGAGGGGCCAGGTGGGGTCGCAGAGGATGGGCCGAGACCCACCCCAATGCCCACTGCAGCCTTGTGCATGGCCCACAGTTCCTTTCAAGGTGCACGAATTTGTACACTGGGCCCCTAGTTATATTATAAATTCCAATGTTCTACTTGCCAACTATACTATCTTAATGTAAAAAGAAAACCAAAGTGAAGGTCTAGAGAAAATGCCATTTAGTACTTGAGTAGTTCTAATGGAAAATTATTTTTAAAGGACTAATGAAAGTAGTTTCTATTCCCACTAAGGAAGCTTAGGATCTGGTGCCAACACAAAATAAATTATTTTATTGCCATTAAAGGAAAAAAGTTTGTGGATCAGAGTAGAAGGAATTAAAGAGATTGTAAATGCTATAACGATGAGATAAAGCTGGCAAATCTAGATGTCTGAGGAGATATGAAAGAAGTATAAATATAGAAAGTGTCAAAATTAAAATATGGAGTTAATAGCAGCCATACAAAAATCAAAGGAGAGTTACAAATAGAGTAGCTAAGAAATAGGCATACATTCACAAAACTTAAGAGATACATATTATACAGCACAAAGCTTCATATAACAAATAAGAATCTAAGAAGTTTCCTCCCAAGACAAAAATGGACAAAGCAAATAACAGGTGATTTTATTTTTGCCTTTATATTTGTAATTTATATTTCTACTAGATGCCTGGTGCACAAATTCGTGCACAGGTGCGGTCCCTCAGCCAGGCCTGCAATCAGGGCCGATTGGGGCTGTCTCACTAGGTCCTGATTGGGGCCGATCAGGGCTGGCCGGCAGAAGGGGGGGACCGCTGGAGGTTGGCCAGCCACAGGAGGTTGGCTGTGGGAGTGCATTGACCACCAGGAGGCAGCTCCTGCATTAAGCATCTGCCCCCTGGTGGTCAGTGCACACCATAGTGACCAGTCGACTGGTCGGCCCATTGTTCGGTTGCTTAGACTTTTATATATATAGATTTGTAATGCTAATATGAACATGGAGGAAATAATTTCTAATGGTCACTTGGTTTTCCCTAATGAGTATATGGAAAAGGTTGATTAAGAGCAAATCTCATGTTTTACAATATAGCCTTGTTTCTTATTATTCATATTCTGTGTAGACAAAAAAGAACTGGGTATACATTTGAGAACTATTGGAGCGTAAGACTATAATCAATATCTTCTAACACAAACACTTTCTTAGGGAATCCTAATATTGTGGATAGATAGTGCAGAATCAAACAGCTGCACATACTGATGCTTAGTCCTTACCTGAGCCTTGATTTCTCCTTCTCATAAGCAGCATATTGTGAACAGATTCTATTTGACATAATGGTGAGAAGCGATAAATGTTTAATCTGGAGTCTCTAGAAAAGAAATGAGAGAATCCCTTTAGGCAGTTGAGATCCATTCACAGTAATGTGCAGGAATGAAAAAAGAGACTCTGGATATCATGACTTTTTTTTGATGACCACAAAACTGAATTCTGACCAAAGAAAGTTACTGATATCTCTTTTCCAGAAGTGATGGTATGTCTTATTTTCTAATGAACAAAATGCAAAAGAGGCCTCTTAGGGACTTTTATGATCCCAGAATCTGAATTTCTACCATCTTAAAAAGGAATAGCATTAATAGAAGAAACAAGAAAGAGCATAACTGTGTAATAAATGGCACCTACCTCTTTCAAAAAGCATATGGTGGGGCTTGATGAGGTACAGCAGGACCCTACCATAGAGAGATAACTCTTGGTATAACTGACTAATAGTGGCAAAGGAGCTTGTCCATAATTAATGGAATATTCATACATAAATCTGTGGGGGGGGGGAGAAGGGGAAAGAGCATTGGTCAAACCATTTGTGGGAAACAAAATCTACTATTTCATAAGTATTTTCATGGAGAGAAGATACATGTTAAGTTATAGTTTTAATATCTAAAAAGCATTAAGGATGTACAGAAAGGGTTATAATACCAATCACTTTCAATCAATATTTTCATTAAATAAAAATATTATTGTCTAGATTTCCATGTAGATTGCTTGAGAGGAGGGTTCATTTGTCCCTTTAGTCACTTAATATCTACAGGTGCATGGCCAATGGTAGATGTTTATTGTTAGTTGAATTAATTAAATGCAATTTACCTTTCATGATCTATCTCTGTTTACTCTCCCAGAAAATTGCTATGTGTAGGTTTACTTATTTATTGAAATCTTTTTAACTTTTAGGAGCATAAGACCCTATGGTCCTGAAAGAGACTCTGAAAATTTACAGGAATGGGCAAGCCAGCCAATTTTTATAAAATTGTGACCTGAATTTCATGCCTTTAAATCCCATTTGAATGCCATTGCTTTTGATTTTTTTTAGTAAATATATTTTTTCATTATAATTGATTTTCACCATTTGTGTTCATTTTTATGATCTTCCAAGACGAATTTATAAAATCTCCATATAATCTGGCTCCTTAGTAATGTTAAGCAATGAGAGGGTCAGAGTAATATGTTCTCTTATGTAGTGCAACATGCATCCTATTCACAACTGCTTCTTGGAATGTGAAGAATAAAGCTGTTCATTTCTTATGCTTTAGTGGAAATTAAATATTAAAAATGTGCATAGCAATAAAATTGTATCAGAAGGAGTATATAGCGATCACTAGTTTAAGGGGAAACACTATAGCTACTGTCAAATATTTGAAAATCTGTCATGAAGACAGGGGATCCAAGTAGTTCTGCTTCAAGTACTAGGTGGGACGAATTGGGTGGGAGCTGGGGAATGGTGGTTTTTCTCTCTGTCTACGAAAGGCATTGACAGTAGTCAACAGTGACAGCAATGAGCTGTCTTGGATGAAAGTCAAGTTCTTGTTATTGGAATTTATCCAGGTTGCTGTAGAAGAGGTGTTTGTATTTGGTAGGGGGTTAGGTTAAATATATTTCTGACATTTTATGCCTTAAAGTTTTACTTCTGATGAAAAAGCAACTTACTGGTTAGCAAATTCCTTGGGATCTTTCCTGAAGGCCTCACAGATTTCATCATTACTTGGCTCTACGTAGGTAGGAAATTCCTGTGGCTGGTGCTTCAGGGCAGCCATACAGAGTTTCCTTTCCAGGCCCTCTTGGGTACAGCACTCAGCAGTTCCTGGGTGCACTGGGAATGGGGAGTCACTCTCACAGGACTTAGCAGACAATGCTGACGTCTAGAAAGAAAGAAGAGAAACCAGCAAACTCATATATACACGTTTCCAAGCTTATAGTTCTACATTCAGTATAACATCTTTAGTTTAAAATTCTCATTAATAGCAAACTGTCCAGGCCAAAGGCTCCATGAGATGATTTGGCAATGTGGCAATTTGCATAATCATAGTTACGGGCAAGTACAGGGGCTTATTTATGTTAATAAATGACTTTCCTCAAAGCAGGAGAAAACAGAACCATCATTAATAAATGGGCTGTGTTTGATTGCAGCCATTAAAAGCTTTATCCTCTAGGCCAGTGTTTCTCCCCAAGGATATTAACATCACTGAGGATAAGGGAGGTCATTTCCAAAAGATCTCATATGATGTCCTACCTGATTTCTGCTGCAAATACCCCATCAAGAATCAGGACCCTCCTGCCCTGCTCTCCCCGCTTTATTACCTGAGCAGACGCTTGTTAAGTGCTTTAGTCTTCTATATTGGTTTGCATTCTCTTAGCCAGTGGTTCTTGAGCCTGCTTTTGCATCAAAATCTCTCATAAAATATATAAAAATTAAATGCCTGAGCTTCCCATCACATAAATTCTGAAACAGTAGGTCAAAGATGAGGCCTTAGGATCTGTTTTCTCCCAAAGCTTATTCTCATGTGTATCATGGGTTGAAAAATCACTGGTACAACTTAATCCACTGCTTCAACACATATACACTGATAACAGGTGAGCAGACTAAGCCCATGGTGAGAGGACCACCGAAGCAATTATAGCCACAAAAATGATCTTTTTGGAAAGAATTTGAAATGAAAATGTAGAGCAGATATAGTTATCATGGAAAAAATTATTTTGGGATTTACTTGGGAAAAAGTACTTTTAAATCCCTATACTTATTTTACATGTTAGTCATCTTTTCAAGGGAAAACACCTAAAGATGTTTCCTATCAATGAAGGCAAGCAACATGATGAGTCACTTATGTAAAAGTGAGCATCTCTCATCCTCTCCCACATCTAACTTCCATCAGACTCTCAGAACTTAAGAACTCTTTTTTTATTCTTCTCTCTCTCTCTCTTCCGTGAATATCTTCTTCCATTCCATTTTTTTTCCTGTCAACTTTCCCATGGTTTCTTTTTATTACCTCTTTTTAAATAAGACATTTAAAAAGAAAAAGCATCAACACATTTTTAAAAAAATACTTTGAATAAGCAGGAGAAAGAGGAAGGTGGTGTGCAAAAATGTCAGTGCCATCTCTGCTCTCTTATGATCTGTCTTTATAATTCAGCAGCTTCTCTCAAATTAGCAAATAAAAATGCTTTTTGTTGTTCTAATCATGGTCAGTAGTTTGATGCTTGTCTATTTTAAGGTGGTTCAGAAGGTCAGGTTGAAATTTCGGTTGTTTATGGACTTAGTGATAGGAGAAAATGATTATGAAATTCTTAGAAAGTAGATAAGGGCCAGATAAAACAATTAATGATAAGAATAATCATTGTGTAGATTCTAGTCCAATGATCTTTGGAACATTGTTTCCGCAGGCTAATTGCTGCAGGCTTACACAGGGAGACATTTGCCTCTAGAGGCCTTTATCAAGATACATTAAAATGCCGTCTGCGTTGGGCCTGATGACTACATTAGTAAATTGCTAGAAACACATGTGGGTTCACCTTTGTTCAGTCTGTATTTTGAACCCTGTCATTTCAGCATTATAATTTCTGCATGTATACTTCAGGGGAGAAATCCCCAAACCTGGTGGTTTATGTATACAGGGCAACTTTTGAACACCAAATTAATTTGAGGCCAACACTAAATTGCTCTGGGTCAGTCAGTACCAGGCTTGGCATGGTAAAGGTATGTGTAGATTTTAGGATACACAAAATCTATTAGAACTATTTCCTGAATCAGTATATGCCCCAGTTTTCTCATTTGAACCTGTAGGACTAATGGGCAGAGTTGATTTGTTTTGCTAGAATAAATCTGAGCTCTAGAGGAACAGGCTTCATATTGCCTCCAAAATTGGAGTAGGTGGAGTCACTGTCTAGGATTTCCCTAAGATATGGCATAAAGACCTGTCTTGGCTTCCTTCTGTGGGCCACCACAGACCCGGCCAGGCCACGCAAACCTACCCTGTTGTCATAGCAGTCAGGGTCAGCCCCTTCAGCACAGCAGGCTTCTGTCAGGGAGACAACTTCCTTCACAAGATGACTGATCTGTTCAAAAGTTCCACTGGGAAATTTTCTGCTGTAGAGGACCATTGATCTGAGGGGAAAAGTAAATCCATACTTAATTCAAATTAATGTTTCCCACATTTGCACATATTAAAATATTCTTTTCAGTTTTTTTAAAGGAATAGTGCACGTATTTTCTTGATGAATGAAAAGAGTATAAGGTTGCCTTTCAGTTTTGTTCTAGGTAAACTGATCTTGTAAAGTGGCAGGAGTTGAACTTGAGAGTTCTATCAAAACAGCCTCATGTTCGTTCTTCTCTCAATGAAGCTGCTCCATACCCTGTTGCCTTTGTTTGCCAGTCCTAGCATGTACTGTTTGCATTTTAATTTACCTTAGAAAAATATTGCTTAATAAATTTTTAGACCACAGCAATGATAGTTCAACTGGAATCTTTGGATGTCCTCCATTTGCCTGCCTTCTCTGCCTCCTTTGACCCCGGGCTCTACCCTGTTAATCTTATCAGAAATCAGTTCAGCCCTTCATGCTGAGTTGAAGTTAACCCTACATGCAGTTTCATTCAAGGTCAAGTAACCTAGAGGGTGAGTGAGTGCTTCATACTTACAAAGATGTGAAGTCATCTTTTCCAAAATTGGTTAATTCCTTGCAGACTTTATCCTTCTCATATTCTCGGCCTAGGAACCAAAAAAACAAACAAAACAAAAACAAAAAACGTTTTGTTTCTATTCCCTTTTAATTAATGTTTCATTAAATGCATATGTATAATGGGATCCTTTATGTGACTTATCTGTGGTGAAACTAGCATTTTTCTATATGCAATTCCATTTTTTGGTGCCTTTCTAGCTGTTTTATAAAAATAGATCAGAATTTTATGGCATGCTATAAATTTTAATGGACAGCAGAAAAAAGTGATCTAATACTGAAAGTAAATAAGTCAAATGATTATCAGAGCCTATTGATGTGTCAATCATTCTCTTAAGTCCCATCTTTGTAATAATGCTAAAATGGGACATTTTGTTCCTCTCTTCTTTATCTTTGTTTCACCTAAGCTCTCAAAGTGGGGGAGGGGGAAAGAGGACAAAAAAAAATAAGTAAGTGGAGAGAGTGTGTACATTCCTAAGTGAAGAGCGACCCCTCTGATGCAGGACCTTGAAAGGGAGTGTGTGAGAACTGCTCTATTACCCATCTCCAGACTGTATAACAGAAACCTAGGAATTCCGCTGGGGCAAAAGATGAAAATTAGGTAAAATGTTTTTTTGGATAAAGTTGTCAGTGTGGTGGGTTTGGGGGAGTGGAGGGGTGTGCTTCTCCTCATTTCAAGTGTAGTAAAAGGGGCTTCGAGAAAAACCATCAGAGACCTTGATAGGTGACCCTTGGAGCATGGGGTACAATGGACAGGTGTCTGATTCAGACTAGAGAAAGCTAAAGGGTTGGGGGCTGGAGCAACAAAGGAGAGGGTTGTGAGTGGGAAGCTTTGCTGAGGCTTGTGAACCCGATATGGATCAAACAGGAGAGCGAGTTTGCCTGGAGTTGTGTTGCTCCTCTCTTCCCTCCCTCCCCCAAAGGGCTGACTAGAGGACAGTGGGCCACCAACTGTGGGATACCTCTGTGCAGAGGCAGGCAGTTTGAAATCAGAGGTCCGAAGGTAAGTTTTGAGGTGTTAGCTGGTTGTGAGAGATCTCCAAGGATGATGAGAAAGATCTCCAAAGAAGCCACAAAGAAAATGTTGACATTGAACATCTCCCATAACCAGAGGAAACAACACTAGCTCACTAAGCTGCCCAGTGAGCTAGTGTTACTTTTTCCTGCTCTTACCTCTTCTGCTGGCTTCTTCCTTCCCTGTGTTTGAGGAACCAAAAGCAGCCTAGAGAGTGGGAGGAAAGTGTACCTGTCCCTCTTTGGCACCACAGGCAATGGGACTGACCAGGGCCTGATCTTGTGGAATAGCTTCACCTTTAAGCAAAGTTGCACATTTTTGGCTATTAAACACAAACAGATATTCCCACGACTATTATGAGGTAGTTATTTTGAGGTTCAAAGAGACCAGAAGACATTTTATTTGAGAGTGAACAGAAAAATTATGGAACTTACTCTTTAGTCCACTCAAGAGACTGGGAAGAGCTAGATTGCTCAGGTCGGGAGGAGAGTTTTCTGCTGTTTGTGAGACTCACTTGTTCAACACACCTATTCCATATGCAGTGTGTGTGTGGGGGGCGGGGCGGGGGTGGGGGGGGACATGGAAGGGAGCCA